CTGGTACTCCTATTATTTGGATGTCTGTACATTTGGAAATGTCCCAGAGGCTCCTTATACTACCCTCGTTTTTTTTTTTGTTTTGTTTTGGTTTTTGGTTTTTTTAAAAAAAATTCTTTTTCCTTCTTGCCGTTCTGGTTGTATGCTTATTTCTTCCTTATGTCCAAAATTGCTGATTTGAATCCTTGCTTCAGCCCCTCCAATATTGTTTCCCTGTAGATTTTCATTTCAGTTAGTATAACCTTCAATTCTTCCCTTATGTTTTTGCTGTACTCAATGAGTTCTTTGAGCATTCTGATCACCAATGTATTAAACTCCACATCTGGTAAGTTGGTTATCTCCATTTTGTTCTTTTTTCTGGGGTTTTGTTCTGTTCTTTCATATTGGGCCATATTTCTTTGTCTTGTCAATTTGGCAGCCCCTCCTCTATTTGCTTCTGTGTATGAGGTAGAATTGTTTTGAATTCCTGTTTCTGGAAAGGCACCTGTAATTTGTGTGGGGTGGAGCCTTAGGTAATCACTAGGGCAGGGCAATATGCTTTATCTCTTTGTGGCTCTCTGTGGGGGGAGGGCTTGGAGAAGGCACAGTGCTGCTGCCTGACTTTTGGAAGTTTGCCCGGCACTTGGCCCAGTTCCAGGCACTTCACCCACTTCCCATATGCGACTGGTGCCCTTCCAGCTGTTGCCCTGGTGGTGAATCCCAGAGTGGGTGGGTTTGCATATGTTCTAAGTCTGTGCAGACTCTAAATGGGCTCTCCTGAAAATATGGCAGTTTCTTCTGCCCCATCCCCCTCTGGTTCTTACAGCCAGTGGTTTTGGGGATCTAACTTCCCAGCACTAGAACCCTGGGCTGTGCAGTCTGGCCTGGGATCACTGGCTCCCAAGGTATTGTCCCAATTTTTATCCACCACAAGTTGGCGTGGACCACCCATTTCATTGCCACTGCCTTTCTGTGGGTCTCTGTGCCACTCAGCCCATCTCCATGACTTTGCCCCTCCCACCCATCTGGATGCATGTAGCTTCTTTAAATCCTTGGTTTCAGACTTCCATACAGCTTGATTTTCTGACAGTTCTGGCTGTTATTTGTTTTAAGGTATAGTTGTAATTCTCTCTGTGATTGCGTGAGGAGGCAAAGGATGTCTACCTACACCTCCATCATGACTAGAAATCCTCGGAAAACTGGCAGTTTTTTATAAAGTTAAACATTTACCTATTTTATGACCCAGAAATTGCATTCCTAGGTATTTACCCATGAAAACTTTTATTCACACCAATACCTACTTATGAATGTTTACAGAGGCTTAGTTCATAGTTATCATAAGCTGGAAACACATGTCCTTCAGCTGGTGACAGGATAAACAAACTGTGGTGCATCCAGCCATACAATGGAAACCTACTCATGAAAAAAAAATGAAGAGTGGACTTACACACGCAACATGAGTGAAACTCAAATATGTATGCTAAGTGTAGGAAGACAGACTCAAAGGGCAACGCATTACATGACTCCATTTATCTGACATTTTGGAATGAGTAAAACCTAGTGACAGGCAAAAGTTCATGTCAGGGGCTGGAGATGGGGGAAGGATCTGACTACAAAGGGGCATAAAGGACTCTAGGGGGTAATGGAACAGTTTTTTATCTTGATTGTGGTGGTGGTTACATGAGTATATGTTTGTCTAAACTGACAGAACTGTACACTAAAAAGGGCACACACTATACGTAAATTACACTGTCATCTTGAAAGCAAAAAGGGTTTTTTTGAGTTTGTTATTAAAGCAGAATGAAAAAAAGAATCTCTCAGAACTGAGCAAGATCCAAGGGGAGTATCTGTTTATAACATTTCCTGATTGAGTTGATTTTTCCATTCTCTGTTTTAAAGAAATGGCCTTAGAAATATTTAATGATTTCAGCTTAGTGATATGGCTGGATCTTTTTTTTAAATTTAAATGAATTTTATTTTTAGATAACCTACATGGTATGTTTTTCCTTAGAAACAATGCCTCCATTCCAAATAAATCAAGGTCAAAATAAATGAAGAGCTCAAGATAACATCAGTCCCATTCGTTCTGGTGTGTGGTTGAAAAGCAGCAGCCAGGCCTGGCGGGTGGTTCAGTTGGTTGGAGCACTGTCCCACGCACCAAAAGGTTGCAGGTTCAATCCCAGTCAGGACATACCTAGGTTGTGGTTTGACCTCGCAGCTGATCCTTAAAGAGAATCATATGTGGGGTTGCACCGTTCTCAACAGTAGTCCAGCAGAGCAACCCTACCATCTGGGTGCATGTTTTCACCACTAAAGATCTGGTAGATTTTGAAATTAGCAAGGATGTGCTTGATTTGTTCGAAAGCCCCTGTCACAAAAGGCTTTCCTCTTTCTGGCCTCTATTCTTGAAGTTTCCCTTTGATTGATTTCATGTAATCTTTGATATACTTCCTGTAGGCTTCTTTTGTGAGGCTTTCCAGCACCCTGCCCTCAGGGCCTTCAGCAGAGGCATTTCCACCAATAATCGAGCCACCCATATTAGCCTCTGTCCTACTGACCACCTTCTCCTCCACCTCCAGGCATGGCTCGTCTGCATCTCCAGGATCTTGAAGATATCCGAGGACATCTCATCATATCTGAAGAGGTCCCAGCAGATGCCCATGATGGTGGCTGGAAGGGGAGGACAAAGGTGCTGACAGAGGAGCTTAGAGCTGTGCAGGTACTGCCTCAGCAGCGCTGGGGCAAGGGCAGAGAGTAGGCGGAAAAGCATGGCTGTACCTTTTTAACTAGTGTAACTGTATAGTAATAAAACCCTTTGTCAGAAAAAACAACAACAACAACAACATACAGTCCACAAATATTCTCTAGAGTAAATATCTCCAAAATCTAAACAAACCCAAGGAAGCACAAGAGTTAATACTGAAAGGCCGAATGTTTCAAAAAACATGTCCACTCTCATTTCTCTTTAACAATGTGCTGGTTCTAGCCAGTACAAAAAGAGAAAAATGTAAGTCATTCAGATTGTAAAGGAAGAGACAAAACTGTCTTTATTCATGGATGGAAATCTGATAAATTTCTATGGTTTTCTATGTAGAAAGTCTGATGAATCTACAAATATGATACTAGAGCTAAGAAGTGAATTCAGTGGTATGGCAGGATACAAGATCAACGGTGTTGATTAAACTGTATTTCTATACACTAGCATTGAACAATCAAAAATTGAAATGAAAACAAAAACCCTGACCATTTGCAAAAGTATTTAGAAATATGACATCCTTAGGGATAAATCTGACAAAAAGCACTGAAGACCCCCAGAGTAAAAACTACAAAACAATGCTGAAATTAGAAATCTAAATAAATAGTGAAATATACACTGTTCAGGAGTCAGTAGACTCAATATTGTTCACATGTCAATTCTCCATATTGATCTATAGATTCAATGTAATTTCAAAAAAAAACCCCAGAGGTTTTATACATACAGACATTGACAGGCTGATTCTAAAATTCAAACTGCAAATGACATAGAAAGGCCAAAATAACGTGAAAAAAAAAAGAACAAAGAGGACTCACATTTCCTAATTTCAAGAATTAATATAAAACCAGAGTAATCAATACTGTGGTTTTGCATAAATAGAGACAAACAAATCAATGGAACAGAACACAGAGTCCAAAAATAGATTCATACACTGATCAGTTCCTTTTCAACAAAGGCACAAAAACAATTCAATACCAAAAGGAAAGTCTTTCAACAAATGGTGTCTGAAAAACTGTGCGTGCATGCCCACACATACACGCTTTTTTAAAAATTGATTTTTAGAGAGAATTTCTAGAAAATTTGATATTATCTATAGTAACAGAAAAACCGATCATTGGGTGCCTAGGGTCTAAACGTGGGTTGGGGAAGGATGGGATTTACGGGTTACGAAGGGGCACAAGGCAACTGCGGGGATAATGGAGATGCTCATTGTCTCGGTCGCGATGATTTTCTCACAGCGCCAACACATGTCGAAACTTTGTCACAGGGCATCTTAATAAAGATATGTAAAGAATGAACAAACAACACTGGTCCATTTATACAACATAAATCTATGCAGCAGTTTTAAAAAATAAAGGAGGGCTAATATATACTGAAGATTTCCAAAATATTAAATGAAAGCAAAGTACGGAGTACTGTAAATAATCCGCTACCATTTGTGATTTTGTCAAACCAAAAAACGATACTCAACCAACCCATCCAACAGTTCGTTTCTACATGCATAGAGTATCTCTGGAAATATACCCCCAAAAATGATGAGAGAAAGACAAGAAGGGAAGGAGAAAGAGAATGAGAAGGAGGAAGGAAGGGGAGAGAATGGAAGAGTGAGACAGAGAAAGGAAAATGGGGCACAGGCTGGGGTTTGGAGTAGGAGAGAAACTCGCTTTTCACAGCATACACTTTTGAACTATGACCCCCTCCCCAAAAGATATATTACTTTTGAAAACAAACATATAATAAAATGACCTATTGACCTATTTTAGGGCTCTGGCCATTAGGAAGACTTGTGGAAGTGCCCAAAGATACATGTACAGAATTGTCCATTGAACCATTGATATGTGTAATAAATGAAATTATTTAATGAAAACAAAAATGGGACACTTTGTTTATTTTTAATATACTACAATGCACACTCCACCTCCCTAACCCTCTCTCAGAAAAATCTGTAAGTATAGACTGCTGACAATTGCTTCTGGCAATAGTTTTAAAGGGGGAGGCTGGGGAGACAGGCAAAGAAGGGAAAGGTTTGTGTCATGACTTTAAGTTTATGAGCTGAAAGAATTTTTTTCATAATGTGTATTATTTTCTTTTAAATTAAAAACTCTCGCCATGACCGGCATGACTCTGTTGGGCATCAACGTAAAATCAACATATAACTCAATGACAACTGTTTAAAAATGTAAGTAAATTATTGGTTTCGGTTTGCAGGGTTGCCATAATAGACAGGGAAGTGCTGGTTTTGCAACGGACCTGAGATGATACTCACCCTTTTCCGTGCTTCAGACTTCTGGAAGCACTCATGCTGTATGAAGGTGGCCGCCACAGAAATCCTGGCAGGCGGTGTGTGGTCAGCATCAAGCATACTCACTGCCCGCTCCAGAGTCATCTCCATGTCGGCATTCCTAGACAAACAGTCACAGATTCAGCGGAATTCCAGACCTGCTCTCTCCTACCTATCACCCTGATCCTTCAGAAATGACGTAGCTGATATTGGAAAGTGCCTGGAACATCAGAGTCTTGGTTCTTCTTCATCCAAAAGAAAAATCGGTACCTGAGATCAGAAAGTATAGGAAGCTAGTGGCAGAAATACTCCAGGTCTGGTCATTACTGAATTGAGCAGAACCATTACTGAATTGAGCAGAATCATAATATACAAGGTCTGCCCAGAAAAAGGCCAGCCATTGTTAACATAAGGAAAATGGTTTGCGTGACATGGATGTAACCTGGCAGCCAAGGAGAGTGGACTGGGATGCACATGTGTGAACAATGATGACTTCACTTGTGCTAGTCAGTGGGGGCAGTAAATGCTGCTGAGTGAGCATGTGTACTGTGTGGCTGTCACATTCAAAATGACTGAATGAGTAGACAACAAGTCTGCATCAAGTTTCACATTAAGCTTGAACATTTCTCTATGGAAACTACTTGGATGATTTAGAAGGCTACAGCTATGGGCAACTGGTGATTGGCAGCTTCGTCATGACTAGGCACCCAGTCGTGCATCACATCTTGTGCAGAGCTTTCAGCGAAACATTAAATCACCCAGGTGACTCAGCCTCCCTACAGCCCAGATTTAGTGCCCTGCGACTTCTGGCTTTTCCCAAAACTACAATCGCCTTTGAAAGGGAAGAGATTTCAGAACTTTGATGAGATTCAGAAAAATACGATGGAGCAGCTGATGGCAATTGGGAGAACTGTGTGAAGTCCCAAGATGCCTGCTTTGAAGGGGACTGAGGCATCATTGTCCTATACACTATGTTTCTTCTACCTTGTATCTTCTTTAATAAATGTCTCTATTTTTCATAGTACATGGCTGGATACCTTCTGGACAGACCTCATATACCAAAGAAACTGAACTCTGTTTAAGATAAATATGTGTAGTATGATAATTACATCTTAAAAAATCACTTTAAAGGCACAGTAAGACTTCAGGTGAAATTTAAAAGAAATCTGGTCACAGGAATGAAAAATTATTGCTACCCTGGTAACGTCAGACCTGCAGAGGAGACACTTTCCCTCAAAAAGCATTAGATTTTTCTCAAAGCTGCTCTGAATGTACTTCACCTGAAAATGGGTTTTTAAAAAAGTATTCTAAAAGTGTTCTCATTTAATGAAAGTAACAGTATATAAACGGTAAAAGCCAGGAAAACTGAGTTAATTTTGTTAAAATAAGTCATACCTGTGTGACAAAATCTACCAGGAAAGGTAATGATTCAATGTAATTATGAATATGCTTTTTCCTAGAAAAACAATTTTATACACATTCTGTTACCATTTGTTTACTATTGTAATGACACTGAATTTATGTCTAGCTAGTAGCATACATTTGTCCTTAACGAATTGCAAGTATTTATAGTGGTGATGAAATCTTTCTGTGTCTTTTTACACAGAAAGGATATTTATAGAGGACAATTAAAATGGCTACTTGTAAAATAAAAGCCGGTAACTCCCAAGTGCCTCACAGAACTACATTGTTTTCTTCCCTTTTATTTCTGCCTAGAGGGTGACTAGATTACGCAGTCTGTATCAAAGTGGCTTGGCTTCCTTAAGCATTGCCTCATAAGCAACTACTCAGGACTCTAACATCTTAGAATTGTGGCTAAAGACTTGTCTTAAAGGTAGGACCCCGCTTTGGCTTCAAAGAGGGTTAGTTAGCCTGTTTCATTCCAGGTAATAAACTCCAAAGACGACCTGGGAGGGTGCTTTCCAGCACCTGCTAGGAAGCACAGTGAATAAATTCTCTTTTAGATCAGGCTAACCCACAATACAAGCACATGTGTTCTAACATGTGCGTGGGCTGTGTTGTGAACGGTGTTTGTGCCTGGGAGGATGTGGCACAGGTGAGGGTGTAAATGAGTCTCATGACTGAAAACTAATACTCATTGCTTCTGAAACACATGTTCAAACATAGAAGTGTTACCTCATGAGTGTAAGAGTATTAAAAATGAGGCAGCAAAAACAGTTCTGGCATCCACACCGAGAATTATATAATGATCTCATATTTTAAAATGTTGTGCCTCAGGAGTCAATTTAATTGGTAAAAAAATGCAGGCTGTTACCATTAAGATCAGAATTTGAGTCATTTTTAAAAAATATAAACACACTTTTAAAAGAGATGGGAATAATTTACATGCTGTGTCTTTACAGAGAAATCAAAACTCTACCAGTCTCAACTTCAATGGCAGTTTTAAGTCTTTAGCATCTACCAGTACAGGTGTTTTTATTGATGAAAGATCACTCGCAGCAGAGAAGAATACCCTTCTGTTTAATGCAGCTTTTTTTAAAAAAAAGATCCAGCCATTAATCCACTTCATAAGTCATAAATAACTCAGAAGAGTTTGAATTTTCCAAAATAATTCCATTACTCAAATCCTTTATTTTCCTGAACATGATTCACAAAGAAGTTTTGCATTCACTCCTAGCCAGTCCGATGCCATTAGACTTTATTATTAAAGACAGTTCCCATAATGAACAGACTTCCTCAATGGAAGGTCTGCTACATCAGGGCATCGATTTTCTGTTTTGTGAATATCTGTGATGCCCACGCCTAAAACACGGCCATGTTCTGACCCCACTCTGGCCCCAAATCCACCCTTCCTCAGTTGCCTCTCTTTCCCCTCCTCTGATAGACCGCTCCATCCTCTAATCACACAAAACTTTTGATCCTTTTCTAAACCCTGCATGTGTCTTCACAAACCACTCTCGGATTTTTCTAGAAAGTCCATCATTCTACTTAATTCCTGTCTATTCTTCAAGACTCAATGCAAATATCCTTACTTTTGTGAAATCGTTCTTGTATCACTATCCCCAGCGAGAGCTATTCCTTTCTCTGTTCTCTGAACACTCCTCTCCTTTATCCCCTTCTTTTTCTCTTTTCTCCTCCTTCCTTCCTTCCCTCCCTCCTTCCTTCTTCCCCTCCCACTCACTCATCAAGCACTTCCTGAAGCCTGCAGAAATGCGGCTTGGAAATGGGGTCAGGGGCCGGCAGATGAGGAAGATTAGTTGTTACTGGACCTCATTATCCCCTGAGCATACTCTCCAGAACTGAGTCTTTTCAACACATTATTAGTTTATATGTTAAAATGATGTCAATGTATATGAAAAATGTAAGGGGAGCAGTGTAAAACACTCTTGGTTAGAATACAAGCTAATGTTTATCAATAAATAACAACTGGTATTTTTTCATGTGTGCCATCCTTTGGTGATCAGCGTTCCTGTCAGTTGGCAGCACGGCCCTGCTGCAGGCCAGTTCCCAGGTACTAGAAGAAGGCTCCGCCTCCAAGGCCAACAGACACTAAGTGACAATGGAAATCTGCGTGTGGTCACAGACACTGAGGAAATGCAAATTCCCCTAGCAAATTTTAGGTTATTATGTGGGGAGTATCGGGGGACTAAAGGGTAATGGGGAAAAAATACAATCAAGATTACACTTTAAAAAGTGTGGTAAAAGCACTGCTTTGGAAAGATGACTTTGGAGTAGACACATGTTTCTAGAGACAGTATTGAGGGCACTACAAGAGTCTTAGCAGAAGCAATGAAGCTTTGACCTGGGCTATTAAAAATGAAAATAGCTGCAAGAGACTTTAAAGAAGGCAGTAATTAAGAAGATGTGGAAGAAAGTTAATATGACATCTTTTATGCTCTGTGTCACAAACTTGCCTGGTGATCTGCCTAGAGACCCAGTCTCTCTGCTTCATCTCCTTACCACACTGGTCTTCTGTTCTCTGAATTGCTATGTACAATAGTATGTACCACACAGCCTAGCACTTGATGATGCATCTTACTTTCCTTTTCCCGGATCCTCTCTACACCTTCATACCTCCCTCTCGATTTCTCTCTTTTAGTTCTTACTGCCATGCTGGGTACCCTGGAGGAATCAATATTCATTTGCTGAACTACCAGTCCCCCACAGGTACAGAAATCATACTTTCAGAAAAACTGAGTTAGAAGGTTTTACTTGGTGATTTGACCTTCCTTCATCAGTCCGATTTAGAACAGGTGTTGACTGTCCTTTACTCCCATGTCTTGGTTTTCTGCAGCATTAGTTAACTGTCCCCAGAAGAATGACCAGCCATCCTTCTTTTAGAAAGAAAGATCCATTGTTTAATACCTTATGTCATTACGCAGATTTGTAGTTTTAGCTAGCCACTCTGTAGGAATGTTCCAAAAATGTGAAAGAACAGTTCTTTGCAGGTGGAACTTTCATTAAACATAAAGAAGTAGATTCTAAAAGTAGCAGCTGGGTAGATGTGAAATGTGAGGAAATGCCAAGGAGAGCAGCCTCAGGGGACGATCTGAGACCCTGAAATGAGCCACACCAAAGCAAGGAAGAGAGTTGGGCACAGACACCACCTTGATCACTTATTTTCCTCATTATAAGAAATACCTCTGACTTTCCACAAAAAGCAAACTTCTCAAAGAGAGATCATTTCTATGACTTCTGATTTCTCGAATAGCAACTGTAAGAATCATCAAGAATAGATTTCTTGCCCTTTATTTTAAATTTCTTGACCCTAAGTGTTCCTTCTATTCTTTGAAATATAATTATTCTAATAAAATTTATCCTATTCATTTAAACAATAACCTGAAGTGGTGTGGTTAATACTACTTCTAGAATTTGAATGACAAAAGAACCTAGATGGTAAGAAGGAAAGAGTTTATACTTCATTTCTTCCTTCTTTGGTCCCTTCATTCTTTCATCAAACATTTATTATTAGGGTGCTGAGAATATAAAGATGATAAGACACACCCACAAAAAGCTCAAAGTCTAGAGGAAGAGAAGGTAAGTAAATGAATAACTGCAATATATTATTCTGGTAGAGATACCCACACAGTGCAGGTAACTGGGGCAGCTAAACTGGATTGAGAGGGAAATAGGGAAAGGTGGAGTCTGAGCTAAAACAGGCAAAATCAGGACTGCTGGGGGAAAAAGAGACAACAGCTAGATAGACAGGCAGGCAGGCAGGCAGGGAGACAGATGGACCGAAGGAGGGCTAAAGAAAGGAAATATATGAATGAATATCTTCCATTAAGGGAAACAGAAGAGGTTCCAAGGGGTTTGACTGTTTATCTGAGGGTGTGTTTGGGGATGGTGGTGATTAAGTGAGAAGATTAAGATTAGAAAGAGGACACTTGAGCCTTGTGTGCCTTGCCAAAAAGCAGGAAAACTTGGTGGGAGTATGGAGAGGTTATAAAATAGAGAAAGAGATAATTAGATTTGGTAAGCTTATTCTAATAGTACTAGAGGACGGTTCTGAGGGAACAGGACCAGAGGCAGACACACCTATGCAGTGAAGATGGAAAAAAGTAAAAATTTCAGGCCAAAAAAATATGACTTGGTGCTATGTAACTGGGGCGTGGGGAAGGAGATAAGGATGACTTCCAGGTTTAGTATGAGGAAGACGGTTTGGAGTAGAAGGTTGGGGGAAGCTGATGAGTTTAGTTTTGTGTATCCTGACTTTGGTAAGTCCAGGAGGTTATTGGAAACACAGGGTGGATCAAAAGTAGGTTTAGAGTTGTTTGTATGGAATATAATACAATACTTATAATAATAATGCAAGAATGAACTCTGTGTTTTGCGTACTCCCAACTGTAAATCTACTTTTTCCCTGCCCTGTATACACAAATCTAGAGCTCAGAACAGAGGACAGAACTGAAGATAAAACTTTGGGAATCATCACAGGATATAAGTGCACTACACAGGGCCTCTCCGGAAGAACACCATGGCGTGGAAGAGAAGGATTGCCAAAGATGACTTCTTCGAGAGTGCAGAAAGTCTTTCCAGAGAAGACTAAGAAGAAAGGTCTGGAGAGATGAGTGGAAAACCAAGGGAGGAGAGGATTTCACAGACAGTGGTGTTAAACGCTGCTCAGAGGCTGAGCACTGTTAAGGGCTGATTACGTGCGTGTGCTTCTGATGTGGCAACAAGGCAGTCATTGATACATTTTGGGGAGAATGATTCGGTCCAATGGTGGGGACTAACATCACACTGCAGCGGGTTGACGAGAGGCTGGGAACTGACACGGCGGTTTAAGGAACATGGGGCACAGGGATGAGGGATTATTGTAAAATCATTTTGTTAAAATTGTGCCTAGCACAAATCTTAGAATAGAGCAGGCATTCAATAAATTTTGAATTAGCCATTTAAAAGCCTTGCTCAGCATTTTCCTTCCCTAATTACCTTATGCATTTTTCTTTATAAGTAATGGTGTCCATATGGACAAAGATCTGCTTTCTCCAAGAAATGTTTGAAGTCTCATGCACAATTTTGCTTCATAAAAAACATTTCCTGCTTCATGTTGAGACTAACCCTCACATCTTTTATCAGCAGTACTTGCACAGTTAGTGACTCTCCTGAGAAGCTTCACCTAAGGTGACAATTAAAGGTAACAGCTTCCATTAAGCAACGTAAGAATTCAAACAAAAAAATCACATATTTAATGTTTTACCATAATGACACATCAAGATTTCAGGACTTAGTGACTTAATCATCCAGCCATTTCTCAGCCTTTTTCTTCGTAACTTTCTCCTTAGCTTATAAAATTTGCTCCAGCATTAATCTTGAAGAAGGGTTAAATTAAGTTCCAAAGACTAGATTAGTCAAGCCATACAGTAAGAAAGACAGGCAAAGGAATGACTTTGAATATTTAATTTTTTAAATTATTTGCTACTGCCAAAAAGATACCGTCCAAGTCACTGACACTACATTGAAAAAGTAAAAGTATCAGGTATAAAAGGAGGCAAAGTGACCTCTGAACACGAGCTGCCTGCCTCTGCTTAGCTCTCAGTCTTTCTTACGGTGGTAGTTATCAAAATAGCATCCGAGGTTCACTCAACACCAGGAATAAGGCTTTTTGCCTTTCTCCTTTCTTTATTGCAAGAAAATGAATGCAATCATCCACTTCTTGGTCTACTTTGGCGTCAGCCCTCACTCAGTTGAGAGGCAGTCATCCTTCAGCTAAGCATCTAGTTTAGAACAACAGATGGACTGAATGTCCCATGTCCCTGCAAAGCTGCCATGAGGAGGTAGCCTGGTCTCTGTTGCTGAGGTAAAGAGGAGGCTAATCTTTCAATTAGGCAGATGCCTGAACAGTCGTTATTTTAATTGCTGATCTCTGGAACCCTTTCTCTGCAACCTCAGAAATGCCAGCTCAAGCAGCAAGGGCAGAGGGGACAGAATGTGCTGGCACCGAGTGCACTGTAGACTGAGAAGGGGTCTCACCTGAGCTGGGAGTCGCTGAAAGTGCTTCTCTCGGTGAGCATGGTCCCACCTCCTCCTGCGGCCACCTGGCCAACGGTCATGTGCGTCCTCCGCCCGCCGGCATCCACAGTGACACTGGGCCCGGCTTCCCGCATCGTGTGGGTGCTGTGGAAGGAGCTCTGGTGCCAGGAGGACCGAGCGCTCCTGTTCTGAGTGATGGGCTGCAGAGGCACCAGAGGCCTGACCTGCCCAGGGGCAGGCCCTGAAATCAGGTAGTTCTCTTTCTCCAAGAGGTTGCTCATGCTGCGACTGGTCCCAGGCCTGGGGCATGTGAGCACCACTGGGTTGGGTGGGGGGCCGTCAAACACACTGTCGTTAACAGACCCGAACTGGTACCGTCTGTGGTAAGTGTCATAGTAGCGCTGTCTGCTCATGGGCCGCGAGGTGAAACCCACAATTTCTGAGCGCGCGTATCTCGGGGGCATGAGGAGGGTGGACCTCCTGCTGTCTTGGTGCCGCAGCGTGTGGCCGACCTGGCTCCTCTGGCTGTACTGGTATTCGCTGAGTGAGTAATGACCCCTCTCAGGGCTGCTGTCTGGAGAAATCTCCAGTCTCCTCAGAGGCTGCCTCAAGGATCTTTCTTCCACTGACCTCTGTGAATTGTACTGCGCAGTTCCTCTCCCCCAGTGACCTTCGTAAGTGGTGGTTACGCCGGACTGCAGAAGAGAGAGAAATAAAGTTTAAATGAGGCATAAATCAGTTTTTATCTTTGTTGAGGACTCGCTATTCCAGGACTGTTACATAAGGTGTCCATTTCACTGAATCACATGGAGAAGCTGAGACCTTTCTGAGTAAAATCTGTTTTTAAACAAGACTTGGTTAACTTGGTTGGTGAATTATTTGCACCAGGATTTGAAGGTGCTTGAAAGTCCCCAGTTTTCTACGGTGTCCACACAAACTCAATCTTTTCATAATTCATTTAGAAAGTAGTAATATTTGGGAAAGGCAACATTAGAAAATAATCTATGGGAGTTGAAGAATGTTTTCATAGTTAACTAGTTTTACATTCTTTGGTATCCTACCTTTAGCATGTCATAGGTTTTGGTAAGAGGGGAACGCCCACCAGCAAAATCATTTTCAACCAAGTGTAGGTTGTAGACATACTCAGGAACACTGCTGGTTCGGTGAAGATTTCCTGCAATCAAGCATATATATTAAAATAATATAAGTGGGCTAGTCAGTAGTTACACATTGTATAGTAATAGCATATTTTAAATTTAAGGATTCACGCCAATGACAAGCATTACATTTATATCGGTGTTTATAAATGCTGGTTAACATTACCTGGGTGTGGCAAATGATCAAGGGTTATCGCTACATTTTCTACAAGCTTTTCAAAATAAAAGTTGAATTAAAAATTAGATATATAATTTTTTTTAAGGAAAGGAAAGAAAGGGGAGAGGAAATTTTCACAAAAATCCAGAACTATTTGTTCCATTGAGAAATCTGGGAATCACTTAGGTGGGTCTATACTAAAAAATTCAGCTTCTTAAGTCAGAGGAGAACTCATTCCCAGAGGCAGGACCCCAGAAGCTCCCTGAGAAGGCTGTAGGGGCAGGCAATAAACAAAAGGGTGACTCAACACTACTAGATAAGATAGCTCGCATAGCAAGGTGGCTCAGTGTGGTCAAAGAAGGCCCGCTTGACAAAGACCAAGCCTTGGGGTGGAGGTATTTGGTCTTGTGAGGCAAGAGAGGAAATCAACCTCTGCCCTGCAAATGACTGCATTTTTAGAATCAGCTGGGTTGGCTTGTTCTTAGTTTGGAAGTCTAACAGCCGGCCTACTCTCCTGCAAACACTGAGTAGGGCACAGCGTCCCTGCTCAGCTCTGGCAGTGGCCACAGGGACTCTCAATTGATGTTCTAAGGGCTGTGGGGAGAGCATGTGCTGGTGCCAACCATACTGCAGTGTCTCTTCAAACTCTCCTCTGAGGAGCTGGTGGTAAAAGACAGTGTTGTGACCCTCTTCTACCTCTTGAGCCTTCTCCCAGCTTTTCATTTGTTCTTTTTTTATAATCTCCCACTGACTTACAAAAAAAAAAAATCAAAGATCTCTAAAACCTATGAAATTTCCCCTAATTATAGCCAAAATGTTTCTGTCATACAGCATTCTGTTAGAAGTCAGAGGAAAAAATACCCAACTTCTCGAGGCTTCAGAGAATCATGAAAGACACTGAGAATAAAATGACACAGGCAGTCTCTGTCCAATAGAATGGGAACACAGCACCATACTTTCCCAGTAAACTGTTATAAAGCCAAAGTTTCAAAGGCTCACAATAGATTTCGCAAGTTGTTCTTTGGGAGAGAGGGAATGGAGATTGTTGTCAGAGCCTAAAAAGAATGACTCCATCCTAAAATGTGTTTACTTGTGTCTTTTGTCCTGGAGCTAAACAACTTGGCTGGTAAACAAGTCTCAGGCCTCCAGGGGTCCTGGAGGAGGCAGCTGCAGGTTTGTAAATAGCACTCTAAAACCCAGGGAAGTGGAGGTAAGCCAGGCCTCTCCTGTTTCCAGGGGGCTGATTTCTCTCCAAGGGATGGTAAAAGGTTAGGTAGCCCCTTCCTTTTTAGCATTAGTGACGAAGTGCCTGAAACGAGGACAATGAATGAGGGAAAGGAATCTTCTCTCAGTGTCAACTGCAGGCTCCTGCCCAGGCTGCCCCACCCAGCTCTGCTCTCACTGCTCCTGGTGTCCCGGCAGCCGGGCTCTACCCCAGGCCATCAGGGAGGCGGGGCTGCGGGGCCCTGCGGGTGCTGAAAGGAGGCTGGAAAGGAGGCTGGCGGAGCAGCTCCTGGCTGTCAGTCTGAAGGCTCTGGGCACCAGGGAGCCCTCAGCACTGGGGTGGAGGGTGCGGGGGAGTGCTTCAGCTGTGACCCGCCTCCACTAAAACTGAAGCCTTTCCTACAGAAGTGATGGCAAGGCAGAAAATTATCAGTCAGTTGATATGTAAGAAACCAAATTTACTACCTTTAGAAAAAGTAGGGTAGGGGTATCCATGTTGAGGAATTTAGATGGTATGAAAACTAATCTGTGAAAGTCAGGGACGATCTAGAATGGGAAAATACGGATGGCATATATGCTGGAACTAATTCCTGTTACTCGATAATAAAATGGCAGAGGAAAGGGTGCGATTTCAGGAATCCAACAAAATTTTTTCAATGGGCCCCTCTAGCCCATCACTGCCTACAATGTTCCAGCAACAGGCAGGTACTCGGAAACAGTCACTGGGGAGCTACTTCCATCCTTAAGCTGAGATTCCTGCAAGGATTTTTCAAACAGGTAAGAATCTTTGGGAAGGACGCAGGGAAACGGGGTAGCCTATCAAAAAAAAACTAATGATTGAGTTCTATAACCAGGCCTATTGAAGTAAAACGTTTAACTCACACTGTTGCTTTTTGTAGGACTTCTAAAAGCAACTTAGAGGAACTCCTTACATTTCAATATTACTTTTCTTTCAGGAGCTCCAATTATTTTGTCTCTTTTCAATATTCTGTGATGCAGAGCCAGCTATTATCATTTCCCTTTATAAATAGGGAAGCAAATGACTTGCTTTAAATTGCAAAGAGATTCAATATCAGGTTTGAACTCTGGGTTCCTCCTTTCCATTCATCTTTGCTGTTTAAATACACTGTGGCTTTTCTGAAATTGCCATTTATTAAAGCTTTGAAGGGATTATCATCATAGTTCTTGATAGGAGGACCAAAACTAATCATTCTCTTTCCTCTAGAACTTTTGCCTGAGCAACTCAAAATACTCTGCAAAAATTAATTCTTTATTTGCTGACGTAGTCCTTATAAGGAAGCTTCTTCTTTGGTTTTCAGATGAATGAACTGAGACCAGTTTATTGGTTCCCAAAATAACTACAACATGGTTGGTAACCGGGAATAAAATAAGATTGGATCTTCAAATCACAGACTCTCTTCCTTTGCTAGAAAAGTTGTGACTCCTGATAGTCAACTTGCAGGTCGGCACAATAGATGGTTTCTCTGGTTAACAGGCAAATCTCAGACAATAAATAATGCAGATTAATTTGCCCAGGCAATCATGAGTTTGAGATCAGTATACGGGATTAAAAGTGAATTAGCAGCTGTGTTCTAAGATTTTTAAAGGAATTCTGAATGGGGTGGAATTTTTTCTTACAAGATAAATACTAATCAGGATGAAAACTAATCTCTTTAAGGCTAGTCATTATTTTCTGTTCAATCAGAGAATAAAATATTATATACTCTAGTAATGACTACTGAACATATAAAATAATTCAGTCATAAATTATGCTTCTCCAAAAAGAGAAACAAGAGCACAAATGAAGGCATATTATACATACAGGTACATTCTTTAAATAAATCCAACATGAAAATTCACATTTTCTAACATGGATTATGAGGGTGTGGCTACATTTCAAAGAATTTGTTTACTTCACAAAAGGAGGTAGGTGTCTTCCTTAAACCAAAGGAATCTGTGGGTGTGGTCTGGAGCCTCCACTCTACCCCTTTCATGTGTCTGGACAACTCACTTTGGTGCCTCAGGGCCCCTTAATTCCAGCTACTAACAGAGTTGCTGAAAGAGGTTGACCTGCGAAAGTATACATTCAAATGCTTTTAAAATCGTACAGCAACATGCAAAAATGAGATACGGTTTTTAAAACAGAATTTGGATTATAAAAATTTGTTTTTCACACTTTCTCTTGAAATATTCTTTTTTAGAAGGAGGAATAAACTAGTCTGCAAGCTTTACTTTATTTTGTGTTGTACCTCAGAGTTTTTATTCTGGTAACTTTACCTGTGGTGTTGCATTTGACTTTTTCTGGTTATTTTTGATTGACTCAGCCACAAAGGATAACAATTACATTATTGTGATTTTTTTTTTTTTGGTCATTCATTTCACTTGGACCATGTATTATGTATTTTTGGTGTTTCCTAAAGGTGGTGATGATTTATAGGGAACATCTAAATTTTTTTTAATCCTCACCTGAGGACATGCTTATTGATTTCAGAGAGAGAGGAAGAGAGGGAGAAAAATATCGATGTGAGACATTGTATGGAGTCCACTTTAAAAGAAATGAAGGAAGCAGTTACAGAACAACTTTGAACTCCACCCTTTTCAAATAAGAAGAAATTGTAGGGGTGGGGCTGGAGAGAGGCAGGGCTGGAGGGTGAGGTGGGTTGGTTTTGGTGGAAGGATTCCCTATTGTTCAAAAGATGGCAAAGGTATAGGAGACCTTGCAGGCGCGTCCAACCCATGGCCCACGATGGCTATGAATGCGGCCCAACACAACACTGTAAATTTCCTTAACACCCCCCCTTTTTTTTTTGCTCATCAGTTTTCATTTGTGCTTGTATATTTAATGTGTGGCCCTAGGCAACTCTTCTTCCAGTGTGGCCCAGAGACTGCAAAAGGTTGGACACGCCTGCCTCACAGGCGAATGTAATTTTTTCCCTTTCCTGGTCTGAAAGTCAATGTGATCAATACACTATCTCTAAGCAGCTGTTAGGAAAATACCTTGATTTCCAGCTATCTATGCAAGTACTGCCCAAAATAACGGGTTATCTTAGGGTTGAAAAAATAAGTTGACTTCCATAATCAATAATACATTTATAAAATCAAATCGAGAAGCCTCTATTTTGACACCATTACCTATATCTGGGCACATCTAAAACATCAACTACAGCTTCCCTTATGGTAAGTAGATGATAGAGAATTGCTAAAAAACAAACAAACAAAATCTTTATTAAAAACCTGCTCATATTAGAAAAGAGAAAAGCATTCACAGTCAGCAAAGCATCTTTTCTTTCAAGCTTTAGCACTCTCTGAGCATGGTTTAAAAAAGTGATTTGGTTTACACTTAGCTCTAAAAGGAGAATGTACAGAGATGGAGGAACAAGCAATTTCCATGAAAACAGGCAATGTTAAGTGTATGCACTGACACTTTTTGCCACAACTACTGAAAGGATGAAGACCATTCTCAGCAATCAGGCTGTCAAGACATTTCAGAAAATGTCGACATCACTCTGAAGGGACGCACAGTTACAGTGAAGGGGTCCGGAGACACTCTCCAGACAGACTTCAATCACAGAACGGGAAAGTCATTCTCCTCAGGAAGGAAAAGAGACTGGGGGCTGACAAATGATGGGGAAACAG